GTTACAACTTTGAATGCTTGCGCGCCATGTTTCGAGGTTATTTTTTTGCCAAGCGGCTTCACTCAGCATACTTTAGTTCCGTTACCAGATCAACAGTCCCGATACTTCTTGATCAGAGCAGGTATATATATATATATATATATATATATATATATATATTTGGTTGGATAGATGTGAGTTTGTGACCCTGGGTTTCACGCTTTAGCGATCGTCAGACAAACTGATTAATGTTTTAAAAATTTGGGTTTATGTTGATTGCGTATATTGGTGTTATTGTGAAAGTGGTGGGGGAAACTTCGTCGTTTTGTCATTCATCGTACTAACGCAAACATCGATGTATGCAGACATATATACATACTTGTTAGCTCTATCTCTGATATTGAGCGCTTTCTAATAAGTACCGCGCATATAATATATAAATAATTATATATATATTTATTTATATACACTTTTCACACACACACACACACACACACACACACACACACACACACACACACACACACACACACATATATATATATATATATATATATATTCTGGTCATTAAAAACAATTTGTATTTTACTCAGCCTGCATTTGTTTATTCTTTAGGTTCAGTGGTTAAAAAGTATCACTTGCTGAACTTATTTCATTGCAATTATTTTATATATTATTACGAATTAGTATTTCTTTTGTTAGGATATGTTTATGTCGTACATTTGTTGAAGTAATATGTTGGGATATATTTTGACTTCTTTACGAAATTGTAAAATATTATATGGATTAATATCATGAAAGAGTTCTTCCATATTGGTTGTTAGGTTGGTTGATTTTGTTTAGCGGCATGTCAACCTCTATGGGTTATTTAGTGCCGAAATCTAAATATTTCGAACAATTTTATGGCTTCAAGTAAATGTATTTTGAAATCAGTTGCATGCATTTAACTACAGGTAAAATATGCTGTTCGTCATTTTGTTATAAAATATATTGGTAATTTGGCTATAAAATGTACTGGTGATCATTTTGCTACAAATATGTATTTTTTTCATTTTTTTATATAAACATGTATTGAAGGTATCTTACTATGAAAATGTATTTTTATACTTTCATAGTGTTTTCTTTTTGTTTGGGGTTCCCTATTTGCCCGTAGCTAGAACCCCAAAAAGTGCTACCACCCCGGGTCAGGTGTACTTTGAAACAACAACAGTTAAGAGATTTAAATAACTGATCTTTGTTGATGTTTTAACGTAACGTTTTCCAAGAATAAGACGTATCTTCGGAATTTAAGGGAAAGACAGTTCTTATTCTAACCATTATTGCATTTTCTGTATTTTTATTGTTTACCTGCTTCTTAATCTAGTAAAGAAGGTAAAATTTTACAGATCCAACGGCCATGAAGACGGTGATAGTAAGTACCATGGGGGGGGGGGTCATCGGAGTATGAGGGTGATGGAGAATCATCTACTGCAGCCTGGAATCTCTGCTTGTAATGGCGCTCGCGACAAGGATTACAGACACCCCAGACCGAGAGATTGAAATTACTCACATTGCAACAATTTCCTAACTACAAATTGTTCCCGCACATCTGCTTTGAAAATCTCTCGTCATTACATCATCGATTCGCAGGCACAAGTCCAATGGATTGGCCCCGTCACTCGTATGGAACAACCTCGCATTTTCAGACAGGGTGTCTATGTGCGAAGAACTGCCATGTGACGAAAGACAAAAAAAAAAATTGATATAAAAACGCAGGGTCAGACAAAGGATATATAACAGTGTGCGGCCGAGCGATCGCGTTAGCATCGACCAAACTTCTACACGCTTCGAGTAAACGGGGCGTCAAACAAATTAATACTCCAAGCGAACAGCGCCACCTTGTAACATTGGCATTGGTAAAAACCGTTGGCTTGAAGTGTCTCCACTTTTCCACACAAGAGTCATTTCTCATTTGATTAGCCTCGAGAGTGGCTTAACTGTTCGATCTTTGCATGGCTGTCTATTCTACAGGTGTGGCAGACGTACGTATTTTACAGGTGTGACAGCTGGAACGTAGAATGAAGTTCTGAGATTACTCTCTCTCTCTCTCCCTCTCACTTCTCTCTCTCTCTTTCGTTCTCTCTGGTTCCTGTGTTGTTCTTCAACTTATGATTTCGCTTTTTCTCGCCCTTCAAGACTCTTGAACTTCATGGCACCAGCCGCTACGATGGTCTGGCATCTCATCCCAGCTACCAGAGTCGGAAATAGCTAGCAGACGACCGTTTACTGATGATATATATTACATCTATGTAGAGATTGCATTAAACCAATTAATATAAACTATTAATAATTAATAATTATTTGAATTAAAAAAAATTTTTATCTAGTATCCAGTGAACAATTCGAACATTTTTCAGATTCTTTTTAAACAAAATTCCTTCCTATAACGAAAACATTAACGAATACACATAATTGAAGCATTTCCTGATTAGATTATGTCACGCAATAACGTTATTAAGGAAAAAAAAACACGTTTAAAATATATCAACATAATCGTTTTTCGTGTAACGTCTTTTAAGCAATGTCTGATATCTGCTAAGAAATTCAATTGAAATATTTAACCTCTTCATGAGTGAATTATATCTGCATAACTTGATACCGGGAAAATAACATTTCCTATCATTTTATTTGATTATATTTGTTTACTATTAATCCACGATTTCTCAAGATAAGCCACTTTACATACAAAATCAACTAGCGTTATTCACCAGAAATACATTAGTCGATATATATATATATATATATATATATATATATATATATATATATATATATATATATAAAGAAATAATCATACATAGAATCAATCAGCAATATTAATGGGATTAATGGCTAAACCCTTCGCTAGTAGAACATAATGTATGCATTAAAATACTGTTAATCCATTGAATGATGTGATCCTCATTTATAAAACTGTTGTCAGATGTTTCTACTGTATATTTTTTAAGTTAAGCAAGTACTTTCGAAGATCCATGTCTCCATCATCAGGCTGTAATTTTTTCCTTTAAAGTTAAAATTTGAAGACAAAATAATTGTTTAAGAATGTGCTATTTATTGACGGTTGTACTTTCGGACTTTCTTGGATCAGTAGGTTCTACGTGACTGAGTTAGTCTAAGACACGTCAGATCATATTTGCTGTCCATGGCTATTGAACCCGGTCTGTATTGCTATTTACCCATAGCTGGGGAGAGAAGAAGAGGATCCATGCCTTTCCCAAGGGTATTAGCACGTCAGTCAGTCAGTTATGTGCCATGCGTGATACACGCTTAGGTGATCATTTATCTTTCGATACCTGACTGACGAAGCATATTTTTTTTTCCTACAGTGGGTTGCCATTTCTTTCTGCGGTAGGCCAGTTGCTATTCAAGGCTATAGCCGGAGGGAGAAGAAGAGGATTCATACCTTTTCCAAGGGTATTAGCACATCAATAAGTCAGTTATGTGCTATGCGTGATACACACTTAGGCGATCATGTATCTTTCGATACATGACTAATGAGGCTGATTTTTCTTTCCCACAGTAGGTTGCCATTTATTTCTGCGGTAAACCAGTTGGCATTCAAGGCTATAGAACCCGGTCTGTCCTGATATTTACCCATAGTTTGAGAAAGAAGAAGAGGATTCATACCTTTCCCAAGGTTATTAGCACGAAAGTGAATGCAATGGATTCGACTGGAATTCGAACTCGGCTCTTTGATTCCTCAATCCGAGCCGCTATCCATTACTGCAACAGTTTCTATCAGAGAGAGACAAAAAGACTATCCATCAACTGCAAGAAAACTAAAAGTATGGTGAGCAGCAAGAGAAAAAGCCTAAGATGCGAGTTACGAATTGCAGATATAAACGTCAATTAGGTGCAGAATTTTAAATATCTGAGAAGTGCCTCAACAGAGGATGAAAAATGTGGCACTGAAATACGAACAGACATTGGACAAATGAAAGAAGCATTCCAAAAGGCGTTGAGATCCGGAAAAATGCTAAGAAACAAAGAGTATTGGGTTGCTATTTGGTGTCCGTCCTCTTATATGGCAGTGAATGTTCAACAATTCCCCCAAGGATGAGGCGGGGAATTAGAGGCAGCAGCAATGGTGGTTCTACAGAAGGATACAGAAATTTCCTTGGACGGAGCAGGTAAGAAACAAGTAAGTCTTAACGAAAATGGTAACAGAAAGAACACTTCTAGTCAGAACCAGGAAAAGACAGTTGAAATACTTTGGACACATGATGAGGAAGGAGAGTTTGGAGAACTTAACCCTCACGGGATGAAGTGCATAAGCAACAAGGAAGCCTTAAAAAAAATGGCAAGAGAAAGAATACTTCTACTCAGAATCAGGAAGAGACAGCTGAATTCATTGGACATATAATGTGGAAGGAGGGCTTGGAGAACTTAACTGTCACGGGACATTGAAGTAAATTTTTTTTTTATTAAAGAAAATGGCAGGAAAAAAAATAATTATACTCAGAATCAGGAAAAGACAGCTGAAATTCTTTGGACACATAATGAGGAAGGTGTGCTTGGAGAACTTAATCCTCACGGGACGAATCGAGTAAGCAACAAGGAAGCCTTAAAGAAAATGGCAAGAGAAAGAACACTTATACTCAGAATCAGGAAATGACAGTTGAAAATCCTTCGACTCATAATAAGGAAAGAGGACTTGGAGAACTTAACCTTCACGGGACGGAGCGAGTAAGCAACAAGGAAGCCTTAAAGAAAATGGCAAGTGAAAAAATACTTCTACTCAGAATCAGGAAAAGGCAGTTGAAATTCATTGGACACATGATGAGGAAGGAGGGCTTGGAGAACTTAACCCTCACGGGATGAAGTGAATAAGCAACAAGGAAGCCTTAAAGAAAATGGCAAGAGAAAGCCACTTACCTGACGAGATTGTGTGAATGAATGCCGGAACGAGTGATGAGAGCTTTAGGCAATGGAGTAAAACGGCCATGAGCCAAACAAGATAAGATGTAGAGAACCGTGATCTCTTATGTCCTGAAGAGACGTGTCATATAGAAGAAGAAGAAGAAGAAGCAGTAGGAGGAGGAGGAGGGGAGAAGAAGAAGAAGAAGGAGAAGAAAAAGAAGCAGTAGGAGGAGGGAAGAAGAAGAAGAAGAAGAAGTAGTAGTAGGAGGAGGAGGAGGAGAAGAAGAAGAAGAAAAAAAATTGCCAGAAGGAGGAGGAGGAGGGAGAAGAAGCAGTAAGTAAGAGGAGGAGGAGGAAGAAGAAGAAGAAGAAGAAGAAGAAGAAGAAGAAAAAGAAGCAGTAGGAGGAGGGGAGAAGAAGAAGAAGAAGGAGGAGGAGGAGGGGAAGAAGAAGAAAAAAAAAAAGCAGTAGGAGGAGGGAAGAAGAAGAAAGGAGGAGGCAAGGGAAGAAGAAGAAGAAAAAAAAAAGCAGTAGGGAGGAGGAGAAGAAGAAGAAGAAGAAGAAGAAGAAAGAAGAAGAAGAAGAAGAAGTAGTAGGAAAGAAGAAGGGAGAAGAAGAAAAAAAAAGAAGTAGGAGGAGGATAAGAAGAAGAAGAAGCAAGGAGGTTTAGGAGAAGAAGAAGAAGAAAAATAAGCAGTAGGAGAAGAAGAAGAAGAAGAAGAAGAAGAAGAAGAAGAAGAAGAAGAAGAAGAAGATATAATGATTACGTTAGAGCAGGTACATACAGTAGGGAAAACATCCTCATTACATTCGTATTTTATTCATTGTTTGGTTGGTTGATTTTGTTTAGCGGCATATCAACACCTCTATTGGTAATCTAATGCCAAAATCTAAATATCTTGTACATAGTTTTATAATTTGAGGGTGAAAAGGTAAAAAGTTTTTAGTTCATAAGATGTATTGCTGATACGTTCACTACAAAAATGTATTGTTGGTCATCTATCTTCTATATAATATTAAAAGTCTGTAATTGCGCGCATGCTTGTGTGGTACGTGCGTTCGACGCATAAGGATTTAAGTTAATCTGATTTAAAAAATATTTTTAGTGAATAAGATTTAAAAATACGACTTGTTTATGCAGTAAATATTTTTATTTTTATTTTAACTTTCTTCAAGCAGACAATTTGTTTAAAATATTTTTCCGTTAAAGACAGACACAAAGAGATCCCGATCTGCTGTTTCGTCCAGGATCTGTAAAGTAATTATTTAGAAATACGAGTTGTTTATACAGTACTTATTTTTATTTTAACTTTCTTCAAGCAGACAATTTTCTTAATTAAAATATTTTTAAGTTAAAGACAGACAAAAAAAAAAAGATCCCGATTTGCTGTTTCGTCCAGTTGTTTGTAGAGTAATTATTTATATTTCAGTTTTCTTTGGTCGAGAGAATGTCCACCCAAAACAATCTAGAGACGGTCCAGGCCGAGGAAGAGATGCAAAAGCATTTACTTTTATAAGTTGCGAAATAAGATTCCTTTCCGCGACGTAACGTAACCGTCTAATAACTTGCAATAAATAATATATAAATAAAAAGGAAAAAAAATAATATATAAATAAAAAGGAAAAAAAATAATATATAAATAAAAAGGAAAAATTAATATGTAAATAAAAAGGAAAAATATATAAATAAAAAGAAAAAAATAGTATATAAATAAAGAAAAAAAATCATATATAAATAAAAGGAAAAAAATATATAATTAAAAAGAAAAAAAATATATAAAGAAAAAAGAAAAATAATATATAAAGAAAAAGAAAAAATTATCAATAAATAAAAAGAAAAAAAATAATATATAAATAAAAATAAAAATAAAATATAAGTAAAAAGGAAAAAAAATATATAAATTAAAAGGAAAAAATAATATATAAATAAAAGGAAAAATATATAAAAAAAAAAAAAAAATTATAAATAAATAAAAAAGAAAAAATAATATATAAATAAAAAGAAAAAAATAATATATAAATAAAAAAAAAAAAATAATATATAAAAAGAAAAAATATAAATAAAAAAAGAAAAAAAATAATATATAAATAAAAAAGAAAAAATAATATTTAAATAAAAAAAAAAAATAATATATAAACAAAAGGAAAAAAATAATATATAAATAAAAAAGAAAAAATAATATATAAATAAAAAAGGAAATATAAATAAAAAAGAAAAATTATAAATAAATAAAAAAAAATAATAATATATAAATAAAAAGGAAAAATATATAAATGAAAAAGAAAAAAATAAATTATAAATAAAAAGGAGAAAATAATATAGAAATAAAAATGAAAAATAATATAGAAATAAAAATGAAAAAATAACTACTTCATGGATCAAGTGGCAATAAAGTCACGTGATCCCTGTAACTATAAAAAATTAGTAAACATATAACCCCTTTTAGTTAGTAAAAAACAACCCAGATAAGTGCATTGCTTTATCACCCGCCGGGAAAGTCAAATTTTCTACACTTTAAACAGACAATATTTTAAAAATAATTTTTGGTATATTTAAAAAAATATTTTCAAGTGAATATGATTTTTAAAATGTTTTTTGGTGTATTAAAAAATTATTTTTAAGTTAATGTGAATTAAAAAATATAGTGAAGAAGATTTGAAAAATACAAGTTGTTTGTACAGTAATATAATAATTCATTTTGGATTTTTTACAAGTGCTCACGTATGCTATTTATTTAAATGCAGTTGCTAGTGTTCAAATTTATCCTGGAAGTTCTATTCCTGTTAAATGCTGTAAACAATAAGACGTTAAACATGAACTTGTAAGTTCGTGACACGAACGAATTGAAATATTTAACTGAATCATAAAATTAACTTTCATTTCAATGGTATGTTGAAATCAACTTCAATATTTTATAACCCGAACCGTCAGTAACCCAACGGGTTACGGGTAGTCTAGTTTTACTCTAAAAATATATTGTTGGTCATTTTATAAAAATGTACTGTTGGTTTTTCTTTGGAGGTTCGCTATTTGCCCATAGTTGGGGACCCTAAACGGAGTTAACACCCCGGGACCTGGGAACAACTGCAATTACGAGGTGCTTTTATGCTCCTCATAACCTACAATCTCCTGATCAGAGCCCTTGCTACTGGATGTAGTTTAGAGTTAATCCCCAGGATGATGTTCTATTCGTTAGAACGCAGTTACAATCGGACAGATTCTTCCCAACAGTCACAGATTTGTGGAACAGACTCACATGAGAATGCTTCCTCGATCACTACAATCTAAACCTCTTCTAGTCTAGCATCAACCGTTATCAAGCCTACATATCCCGCCAATCTACTGTTGGGGCCACCCACCTTCTCATCAGAATGGACTGATCTCTCTACTACTAATAGAACAGTTCTAGAGAGTTCTGGAAGATCAGGTGACCATCACACTTCCGTCTCTCTACCGGAAGATACAGTTGGACTTTATACTCTTTCTGATTGTTACTTACTAACCTGCGTTCGTTTGACTACTAATCTCTCTGTTGTAAATACCTCTTCAGATATACCAGTATTCTTCCCTACATATGTGTTTGTCCGTATTTCAATACACGCACGGGGAAACACTCAACATCTCAACATCTAAAATTTGTACTCGCATACAACAATCCCATTCAGCGACCCTCCAAATTGCGTGGCCGTTGGGTTTTTTTTTTAATTGTGTGAACTATATCGGAAAAAAATTAGCATCCCACATAAGTGTTGCTTTGCACGCTTGTCTGTATTAATAAAGTATTCATTAACTCAATTCAAAAGTGGTTGGAGTCATGGAACTTCTGTCTTTTCTTTTTTTTCTGTCCGTGAAAATATTTTTACTTTGATGTTCCGAAAAGTTTTTCGTATTTATTTGAAGCATTCAAGTATTTTAGCAAGAACGCGTACGAACAATAAATGAAAAGCGAGTCAAAATAAAATAAAAAGAAATCGATCATGAAGCTAACATTACTACGGCAGTCATGAAGAATCGTCTGGTCATGAAGAGTCGACGATGAAACTTCAAAGACAAAAAACAAACAAAACAAAAAAAAAAAAAAAAAAAAACGAAATAGAAAAGAAAATCAAAACGTTTAAATTTTTCCCTTCGTCATTTTCGTTACTTGGTCGTGAGAGTCGCATTGCAGTTTCCATTGCTTTGAGCATGATTCTTCATCGAAGGACACGATTGTACATTTAAAATAACAAAGCATTGGACGTGTTGGACCAACATGTTTATAAAGAGATGTCTTGAAGCATTAAACTATCTCTCACACAAACACAAACATACATACATACGTACGTACATACATACATACGTACATACGTACGTACATACATATATACTGGGTGTAACAGCAAAATTGTCCAAATTGTGTAACAGCAAAATTGTCCAAATTGTCTAACAGCGAAATTGTCCAGCTGTTAGATTAAGATTTGCACCGTTGTATCTTAGAAATGATTAAAGATATCTTACTGGAATTCTCCAAAGAATTTTATAACACTATTTTGTTATACTTTGAACATGAATACATTTAGCTCTAAACTGAAATTATGATCACTGTTATTGTTGCGATCCCCTAATACATCTTTCATACATACTTACATGCATACACACTGGGTGTAACAGCAAAATTGTCCAATCCTGTAACAGCGAAATTGTCCAATTCTTAGATTAAGCTTTGAACCGTTGTATCTTAGAAAAGATATCTTACTGTAATTCTTCGAAGCTTTACTAACACCATTGGGTTCTACTTTGAATCTATTTAGCTCTAAATTGAAATTATTTTGTCTCTTCTTGTTGTAACCTCCTGCTGAAGTTTTTCCCCTCTAATGTCCGATCTTTTTTTAAAACTTATTCGTCGTTCCCTTGATGGTTCTTGAATGGACTTTGAAGATGAAAGCCAAAGTATGAATCTTGGTACCATTAATGACGGTCTGAATGATCTTTTTCTTCTCAACATTGCTCAATTGTTAAGACATAATCTGGCTGACACAAAATGATTTTAACCTGTTCTTTTTCTAGCTGAACAACTCAAAGGGTTTTTCAGTGATCCTTACGATAAATGGTATCAAGATGGCTAAACGTCTCATCTTAAAACTTGTAAAAAAAAAACAAACTCAGTGAGTTGAGTATAATTTGTAACGCATATTAATGTAGGTAGAAAAAAAGCAAATGTTGGTAAGATAGCAAGCGTCACAAAGTACCTCCGGAGTCCCCATTCATATTTGGGGACTCTCTGGTTGTTTGCACCGGTCCTGTGTTCGTATATGCTTTTCTTTAAATACTGTGATGCTTCGATTATGTATCTAGAGGGTACTGTTTATATTCTGTTTGATAAACATCTACTATTATTTTTGTAGGGGCGAAAAACCAATCGAGCCGTCTAGTAGCTGGTTCCCTCCGAAGTTTCCCTCAGGATAGCTGGCGTTCGATCGTCGCAATTCCATCCGGTAAAGCGAACGATTGGAGGCCCCGGGGCTGTTCACGGCTTCGACCTACTCTCGAACTCGGACCGTCGCGGCGAGGAGCGCTTGCGCTGGAAAAACGAAAACGATGCGCGCGCGTGACCGATGCCGCGACGAGTAGGAGTAGAAGGGAGCCGCGGTGGGCACGAAAGCCTAGGGCGCGAGCCCGGGTGGAGCCGACCGCGGGTGCAGATCTCGGTGGTAGTAGCAAATATTCGAACGAGACCTTCGAAGACAGAAGTGGAGAAGGGTTCCGTGCCAACAGCGGTCGAGCACGGGTCAGTCGGTCCTAAGACGCAGGCGAAAGTCTTCCCGAAATACGCCGGATCCATAAATCTCTTTGTCCTCGTCTCTCGTGAGAGAGAACAAAAAAAGCGAATGACGAGCGGCCGGCCTTCCGTCAAAATGAATCGGGTTAATATTCCCGAACCCCGAGAGTGCCCGGGGTTGGCGGCGCTGCTGGCAGCGATGTCGGTGGCGTCTCGTCGCTTCTCGGGCGAAACCGCGGTGACGCAAGCGAGCCCGGAGACGTCGCCGAGAGCCCCGGGAAGAGTTCTCTCTTCTTCGTAAAGGACCGAATTAAAATATAATGATTAATTTTGGAACCGTTTACCGCTTTGTTTTTAAGTCTCTGAGTGTTCCACTCCGAGTAGGAGACGAAAAGAATTAAGAAAAGGCACTTCCGGGCAACACTACCTGCAGGGTCCGAATTCACTGTCCTGGAACCATCGCGCCGTTAAGAACTAATTCGCAAAAACTCTAGTCGTTCACCTTCGACTGAAGAAAATGGAGCGGGGAAGAAATATATTTTCGAATCAAACCCAGTCAGTTATATGCCATGCGTGATACACGATTAGGAGATCATGTATCTTCCGATACTTGACTGACGAGGCAGATTTTGTTCCAGCAGTAGGTTACCATTTATTTCTGAAGTAGACCAGTTGCCATCCAAGGGTATAGAATCTGGTCTGCCCTGCTATTTATCCATAGTTGGGGAAAGAAGAAGAGGATTCATACCTTTTCCAAGGGTATTAGTACGTAACCGAATGCAAAAGTACTCTATTATAAAAGAAATTGTCGAGACTCAAAAGAAGCTGTAGTCAGATTGCATTTAATTAAGTTTCCTTACAAATTTAAACGTTCGTCTGTTTTTCCTTAAACTTTAATATTCTGTTCATTTTATACGCATTTAATGAGCACCACAATGCTTCCTCGCTGGTGTCTTTTCTGCCGTCATAATAAGTTTCAGGCCGCGAAGACATCAGACTTCTTCCTCCACATACAAAACCATTTTTCGACCAGCTTTCTGGTATCGCTACCGCATAATTGGAAGAATTATAACCAATATCTCTGCCTATGCAAATAAGATCTTTTTGTTCAGTTCTATGGAGGAATTCTGACCAATCAGGATTTGTTTAATTTTTCTCTTGACTATATTTTTTTATTGGCCAATCAAGGAGGCAGATTCCGTTTTGCCCTTAACCGTTATTCGAAGTATTCATTCAGAATGGCGGTTATTGTTTTTAGCCAATGAGAAAGCTAGTTTCCATTTGGCTGCAGACTTATGTCTATTAAAATTCTGATTTTATTGCTGCCTCTAATAATGTATGAAGAAGTCATGTTGAATATTATATTCGAAGGCGAAAAATGTGTTGTAAGTCATCTTAACCATTTCTCTGTAAGCAAAATGATGTTCCCTGTCCCCTAAAGTAAGCATGAGCAACCTTTATCGACCAATGGGACGCATCAGATATGGTTGATCATAAGACGGGCCACTGCTAAAATGATTCATGGTTTTTATCGGAGATGCCGCGGCCATTTTCGCTACAGAACGCGTAATAATCTGCCTTAGAAATGGGAAAAAGTTGATTGTTTTTGGAGAAAACATTTCTCGATAATTAAAAAAAGATGTCTCTGTATAATATGACAGATGACAGTGGTTAACAGATGTCGCATCATGTGATTTGTTTCTTAATTTATTCAATCGAAAAAGCAAAAAACTAATTTTTAATATGAAAAAAAATTATTATGAACGTTCTGTATCTAAGGCAAGTGATATTTACACGCCTTATCTTCCTTAGTGAAAATCGCCAGTCGTTTAAAATGATGAAAACGTTACCTTCAACGAAAAGTTAATAAAATTCAAGAAAAATTCTACTTAATTATTATTTACGTAAGTGGTTATGTATGAGAGAGAGTGTGTGAGTGAACAAGTGAAAACGAAGCGAAAGAAACATTTTAATAAACGTTATTTTCCTAATAAAATTCGGCGTGACATTCAGAAAGCCAAAAAGGTTCGTATGTGGCATGGGGCATGTATTTTGCCCATGAATGCCCTGAACTGAAATTATCGTGTTCATTATTTTTCTAAGACAAAGCTTTTGCGTTCATCTGAAAATTGAATTTTTACGTATGAAATGAAAAATGCTAAGATTATGTACTGTTCAATTTTTAAATCTTATGATGTAGACAAACGTGAAAAACGTCAAGGGAGGTAAGTAAGTTATTGAAATGTCTAAATATTTTTAAAAGTAAAAGCTATTTAAAACTATTAGTTAATAACTATATATTTTAAACTATCTACTGTAAACATTTTAAAACATTTGTGCAGTATTTATAATTAAATTTCTTATGTGCTGGCTTCAATTTTTTAATATTGATAGCTTCAAGATTTTTTAGTTTCTTCTTATTATTTAATGAAAACAACCCACTGATGACGACATTTTCCTAATGTCGAAAGTACTCGGAATAAAATGAATATGCATCAACATGGAAATTTTCTTTGTTCTTTTCGACTCCTTGGCTCCATATTCTTCGAGTAGTGGACGGAACTACTCGAGGAGCATGGAGCCACAGCACTGAAGCCTCATAGACTCCTCGAGGAGTATGGGACCAAAGTTCCCGTAGACTCTCGTGGGGCCATGAGATCACAGTTCGCGTATACACACACACACACACACACACACACACACACACGCACGCACGGACTCACACATACACACACACGAACACACACACGAACACACACATGAACACACCTATGTACTTAATCATTGTTTACGTAAGTGGTTATGTATGAGAGAGTGTGTGAGTGAACAAGTGAAAACGAAGTGAAAGAAACATTTTAACAAACGTTATTTTCCTGATAAAATTCGTCGTGACATTCAGAAAACCAACCAGGTTCGTATGTGGCACAGGGCATGTATTTTACCCATAAATGCTCTAACTGAATTTAATTGTTTAATTATATTTTTACAGAACCTTTTTTTTTTCTTTTCAAAAGTAATTTTCAAAATGTCTCCACGTTTTTATGCTATAATTAATACTGGATTCCATGACGATCTTTAACGTGTTAACTGTTAGAAACATCTGACTTCTTTACGCTTCTTTATGGCGTTCAGCCTTGTGCTAGACTAAATTAAACTTTTGTGAATAACACGACAGACGGAAGAGTAGGAAAATCGTGACAGAACAAAAGTTAGATTCCCAGTAACAGTTCGAGTCTCAAGTGTTGTTTACATCAACACTTTCATGCCGCGACACCTTTTTTAGCTGCGTAAGATTAATGCTGTGACCTCCTGGGTAAATCTGATCAAACGAGACGTACTTTATTTGCCGTTGTCAATACCAGAGGCTATCACCGCATCATCTTTCCTTCCGATCAGGCTGAAAGTTTTCTGGCGGGAATCGAATGGCCCAACATCCGAATCTCGCAAGCTGTGACCGTTTAACAGCCGCTGTTTTATCATCGCGTCTTTCGCTGAGGATGTCTAGCATCATAATTGATATCATCTTCTTTGCTTTCCCTTTTTTTTTTGGAAGTAAATGAAATAGTTTAGTAAAGAGAAACACGTCGATAGAAAAATGAAATTGTATGACACCTTTATCGATTATTAAATGGTTTCTCTAGTACACGCACGCGCAAACAGATATATACAGACATATATATATATATATATATATATATATATATATATATATATATATATATATATAATTTACATTTAGGTATATCTGGTTAAATAAATTATAAACAAACATTATGTCTGCTTATTTTTAGCACAATTCGTTCATATTCATGGATATTTTCCGTGTATTACAATCAAGATTGTAAATAATGTGAATATGAACGGATTATACTAAAAATAAGCCGACATAATGTTTGAAATTTATTAAATCAGACATATATATATATATATATATATATATATATATATATATATATATATATATATATATATATAGATAGATAGATAGATAGATAGATAATAATATTATTAGTGGTAAATATACATACATATGCAAAATATATAAATACACATACATGTATTTTTTTTTTTTTGAATAAAAATTCCAAGAGGGAGAATCCAGGTAGAATTCAATGTCCAGGACAGAGTAAGGATATAATAAAAAGGCTTAAACATTAATATTCCATGGTCATAATTTATTCCATTGGAATCGTAAATACGATCCAATTCATCAGACCTACAAATTCAAAAAGAAAACAGAAAGAACAACTCCGGAAATAAAAACAGAATTTAGAGAGAGTGTAAGTATGAGGAGGAGGGAGATTAAACCTTAACAGAGAGAATTTTAGGAGAAGTGGGTGGAAGGGGTTTAAGTAAGAGAAAAATGAAATGAAAATGAAAAAAATGTTCTCTTACTTAAAACAAATTAAAACAAATAAAAGCATTTGAAACTAAATAATATATTTGTTTTATTGAGTTTTGTATGTTACAATTCACAGCTGATTTTCAGGTACGTTGGCCATAAAAAAAAAAAACAAAAAAAAACATGATTTGTAATCACTAAAACCCAGGTTGTGTGTGTGTGTTTGTGTGTGTGTGTGTGCGTTCCTTTATATATGGGATCGGATTTCTTACATGTTCAGCCGAAAAAACAAACATCCACTTTTTCTTTGGCAGGTAGTATTTCTTATTGTCTTGCACACTTTTTTCTTTATTTACATTCAGAATGCTTTAAAAATTCCATTTACAAGACAATTGTTTATAATAAAATTCTATTCAATCGGTAAACTCATAATGATTGTAAACAATGTTTTTGTTTGAGTTTGGGTTTGACCAATTCGTAAAAAAAACCCAAAAAAACAAAAAACTAATTAAGACATGCGTGTCCGTCAACCTTAAACAATAATCTTTGTCAATTTTATTTTTCAGTCTTTATGATGGTCGATACTTGATCTATCTCTTACTGTTACATCCCCGGGCAACGCCGGGCTCTACTGTTAGTATATATATATATATAATTATTTACCCGCTGCCCCACGTAGCAAGATGTGGCACAAGGCCAAGTTTTAGAGTGGGGTATCCGAGCCTATAGGCTCGTCAAAATTTCCCTATAGACCACGTAAAAACGGAGTCAGTTTCCCCGAGACGAGACTCTGCCCTTCGGCAAAACCTCGTCTCGCGGATACCCTCCAACTTGTGCTAGGTATATAAAAACATGGAATAAGAGAAGAAGGCAACAATAAATAAAGAAAAGGAGAAAGGAAAGAAAATATAAGGATTAGTATTAGATGAATGTTTAACGTCCATTAATCTTGTGTCATCAATGATTTTGCTGATCAAAGGCTATTATTATTTTACTGATTATAGTTACTTCATTTTTTTATAGTCTGAGTAGAAAGTTCATATTAAAACGATCTTGGCATATTTCCCTTCACACGGACAATTGTTTCGGTCAATTTGTGGAGCTTGTTGGGTTTATCAACCTGAAAGCACTTTGCATTTCATTCACAGAAGATATATGATCCTGACTTTTGAATTCCTGATAATCCAGGTAATTTCTTTTTATTTTTGTCTCTGGAATATCAGAAGTCAATTTTACGTGTTAGCTAACCAACCGAGGAAGGATAAATGTTTTTTTTTCGCCTTCTTGATACAACAGTCGCAATCTTTCTCATCAGTTAGTATAGGGAAGCATTGAACGTCACATATAAAATCAAAATTGGCGAATGCTTCATATGAAATTGACAATTCGACGGTTGATCCAAGTTAAAAGCGCTCAAGGCCTTATTTTTAAGAAAGAGAATTTTTAAGAAACAGAATACAGAATAAAAGATAAATTATTAAAGTTTAGGATGGGGATTTATATTAAATATAAATACTTCAAAATGATTGATTTAATTTAAATTAATCATTTAATAAAATTTCATTTAATTAATAAGATGGAAAAAAACGAGCATGCTGTCTATTCTTTTTTTTTTTGTATCGTCTTGACTGAGCAGGAAGTGACGTAGGCCGTTAATGATTGGTCGCTTGTAATTTCAAGATCAGTAGAGGCAGTTACTTAATGTGTCCATATGTTGCGTGATTAGAGGATTTTTTTTTGCTTCAGGATCGCCTGCCGAAATAGTACTGTTTTGATAGGGTCTCTTCGGCGAACAAGTATTATGCTGCAAGACCCGAAACTTGTCATGACCCCAAGTCATAACATCACTGTGCACTCGGTTGAGTATTTTCATAACAAACAATCATCTTACTTATTATAAAACGCGGATTGTGTGTGTGTGTGTCTGTTCGTTTATATATTGGATCGGATTTCCTACATTTTTCAACCGATTTCAACACAACTTCACAGGACTACGTAAAATTACCTTGCGGGGGTTCTGACAGCAAAAACACAATTGATTTTGCACGAAATCAATTTGAAAACACGATAAAACACGATTCTGTCTCCAGAATGAAAAGGGGGCCAACTTATATCGAGTTATACTTATTATAAAACCCAGGTTGTTTGTGTGTGTTCGTTTATATATGGGATCGGATTTCCTGCATTTTTCAACCGATTTAAAAAAAAAAAAACTTCACTTTTTTTTGGCAGGTAGTGTTTCTTATTGTCTTGCACGCTTTTTTTCTTTATTTTACATTCAGAATGCTTTAAAAATTCCATTTACAAGACAATTGTTTATAATAAAATTCTATTCAATCAATAGACTCATAACGATTGAAAACAATGTTTTTGTTTGAGTTTGGGTTTGACCAATTCGTAAAAAAAAACCCAAAAAACCAAAAAACTAATTAAGACATGCGTGTCCGTCAACCTTAAACAATAATCTTTGTCAATTTTATTTTTCAGTCTTTATGATGGTCGATACTTGATCTATCTCTTACTGTTGCATCCCCGGGCAACGCCGGGATCTACTGCTAGTTTTTAATATAAATAACGAAGTTCATGTTACAATATATATATATATATATATATATATATATATATATATATATATTATAGTGTGCAGCTTATATATTATATCATAAAATAATTATACAAAAAATCAATTAGAATAACTCTGTTCACACTTATATTATAATTGCACTCTGTGTTCTAGTTTAAGTTAATTGGTATAACTAGGGTATATTATATAAAAAAGTGAGTTATTCCCCTTGATATATTGTTTGCTTTTGTATCCAACTTTTAATTTTAATAATTTGAAAATTTATTTTATTTTTTTAATTCTTTGCCTTTGAACTTAAGAATTTAAATGATATAAATTATTAATATTAATTATCTTATATTTTATGGAACAACAGTTAAACAAACAAATTTTAACACAATTTTTAATCAACACCACGAGAACGTGAACTTTGGATATTAAGTACATTTCCTTATATATATATATATATATATATATATATATATATTACATGAATCCTTCAAACAAAAAACAAATATAGAAGTTAATGATTTAAATGGCGAGAATACATCTTCGCAAACAAATTTAATTAATTACATTAACCCCGAAACTGTATATGAATGTTATGATTCTTGTTTATAAATTCCAGTTGCATAAGGTATTTTTTTTAGTTTTTAACAACCTTTCGTCTGTTCATACAGACACCTTCAGCTATGGAAATAGATTTGCTTTTGTTTTTTTACTTCTCGGTAACAACAGGACAACGAAAATATAGATCTAATCCGAAAAATGTTTTTAGAAATGTGTTATTGTTAATTGTAAGAAATTTTTTGGAGCGTGAGGTCACAACACTGAGGTTGAATTTTTAAATTTTAAGATTGTGCGTTTTTGTTCTAATATGGTAATAGGAGTAATACTTATATATATATATATATATATATATATATATATATATATATATATATATATATATATATATATGTCTGATACACTATTAAGAGAGGCATAAATAAATGTGTCATCAAATTATTAACCTCTTCTCCGGCGTAGCCGTGTATATACGAAAATGTCTCATTCAGACTCTGACGAATAAACCCGTCGAAAACATAACGTTCAAAAAACAGCTTCAGACGTGTTTATAAGTCAATCTTGATTCTTTTTATGCCTTTCTGAACTTGTATTAACTAGTTCAATTGTCAACTCATACGTCTGGTGTTAGCCACCGCTCGGGTACTTTAAGGTGCCTCAAATTTTAGTTACTACAGGGTGATTGAAAGTCAACTCCCTATTTTATGTATGATGAACTCTCCCCTGTTGTAAAAATTATACTTGGACGGAGTACATAAAATAGGGAGTTACTATTTTAACTTGATCGCAATAGATGCACCGAGGTGGAATTTCTCCTTTGAGTAAGTATTTGTGCGTAAGATGTGTATGTCCCATTCGGAATCTGCTTAGCACTATGTCCTGTTTTCGATCAAGTAATGGTCCTCTATATTCCAGCGTGACTGTCGACTGATGCTCGTACAGTTTGTTGCTTGAAAACGTATCTCAAATTGATTCTTTTTATGCCCTTCTAAGATTGAAACAAGTCCA